GACCATTTATCCAAGAATAATGCATTTAATGGATTTAAATCTTGACGTTTCTCTGTGAAAGTGTGTCTGAGGCAGCTTGTCAAGTTTGGTTCGATCAGTAGGATTTTATTGATTGCGCTTTTCTCAGCTGCTGGGGTGAGGGTGGTCGTGTGAGAACGTGCACCAAAAATACCAAAACAGGACATGCTTGTTTTGAAAATACAAAGAGCTGTAAACATGGAAATCGTTATCAGAAACTATTCGGAATCCCCAATCACAGGCCCAGGGCCACCCAACCACGCTGCAAACATGGACAATGTTGTGTGCAGGTCGCTGCTTACATTCAGAGAACAAAGGAGTAAGCGCAGAGAGCTTCAAGCCCACGAGACTCCGCAGAAAACAATCGCCCCTTCCAGCTCTTTGGAAGACTTACTTCATCGAATGCCGGACAACAATGGTGCGCATGCGCAAATCGCTTCTTTGCCTGAAAATCTCGCCAGGAGCTTGCGCTAGCACCAGTCTAAGTAACACATGCGCATTTTTACGTCCTCGGGCACTCTTGAAGGTCCCAGAGTCCGACGCTACTACGCTTCTCCCCCCTCCCCCACACACACTTCTCTCAGCGCAAATTTCCTGGCCCCACGGAAAGCCAAGTAGGACAAAAAAAAAGTCAAGAACGTACCCGCAAAAGCAGTGATAGAAACCACGGTTCTGCTCAGTGCCGCCGACAAGCGGCAAGAATAACTAGGACCAATCACTACTTGGCTGAAAAATTATTGGTTGAAAATGACCCGCGAGAGGCAGGACGTCCTTCGAGCTTTAGTAGAACGCTCGGAAACCTCCCAATATTTGGGGGAGGGGAAAAGGTTAAGTGCCGCCCGTTGGAACTGAGACTAAGTCATTGATTGGCTGAATCATTGTATCATTGATCCACGATTCTGCGTGGATTGGTAGATATAACTTACCGGGAAAATTTGTAGAATGTTGGTTCGATAAGTAGTAATCTTTCATAATGCTTAGGTTGTTCAGTTTAGTGACACTTAGTCAGCCGCTTATTATTTGTAGGTTGTCACCAGCTCCCTAATTCCCAGGATATCCCATAATCATATTGTCTGGATCGTTTTTTGCCCCCATCCCAATATTTATATTGGTTTGCGTTGCTTAAGTTCTGCGGAAATAATAGCTTTGGCTCGCTTTATCCGTCACAGGGTGAAGTTTGTACACTTCGTTTCTACCAAAGCAAATGTATGTCGTATGGGGCCTTTTGCAGTGTTATGTGTCTATGGAGATTCTCAATCATCCAAGTCATGATTGTCCCAAAGGTGTGTTTTAAAAGGCAGTTGGACTTGCTTGGTTTGGGTCATCTGAATCAGAATGCAAATAGGTGTGGAACCTTCTTGGGACTGCTAAAAAGACTGTGTTGATAGGTGATGGGTGGTGTCATCTCTCTCCCCCTTTGTTGAGAAAGGGTTCCTCAATTTTAATACAATGGCCTTTTCCACCCTCTTTCAAACTAGTGCTCTTCTGTCCAGAATATGGACTTTGCTCTCTTCAGAAAAGTGACCTTTGTCTTTCAGATGCAGATGGACTACTCAATCTTGTCCTGATATGTTTGTTCTCCTTTTTTTCGCCATTTGTTTGTGAACTTATTACTACTTTTTCAATTCTACATTCTCAGCAATTTTTCATTACTGGCAAATGATAATTTTTACAATGTTCCAGTGAAAAAAATTGGTGTGTTATGTCATTGCTCATAATCATTTTGTGAGTCACCCTAAAGATATCTCTCAAATCCATATTTTTCGTGTCCCGCTACCAATCCTCTCTTCTTCCAGTAATAGACATTTTTCCACACTAAGCAAATACAATTCTTATTGTTGTTAATAAACAGTTGTATATCACCATTTGTTACAGTTTTTAATAGTATCAATAATATCAGTTTAGAATATCTTTTCTAACAAAAACATATCTTAACTGCATTTCTACTCAATATCCATTTATTCAGTCCATATCCTATTTTTGCTTTTTTCAATTTTAATTTCCCATCCATATTCAAAATATCCCAATCACTTATAATTTCAAAACAAGTTATATTTGGGTAACCAAAAGCTTTCCTTATTCAAACTTCTTAGCATTTTCTTATTTCCCTTTTCATACCAAGATATAATATTCTGATTACAAATCTTATCTATCTAGTTATAACAGTGTTTCCCAAACTTGACAATTTTAAGGCATGTGGACTTAACGCTGGTTGTGGAATTCTGGGAGTTGAAGTCCACATGCCTTAAAATTGTCAAGTTTGGGAAACACTGAGTTATAATAAAACTTCTATTTCTAGCTGTCTATTTCTTAACCATATTCAATCATCTAATTAATAATATCCCCTCTAATAGGTCAAAGCTTCTGTTTTCTTCAGTCTTGCTCTAGCTTTCTTCCTTTGCCAACTAACTTTCCAAGTCAGTGCATTTGGAGCATCAAATAATTCTTCCTCTATTTTTGTGTATGTTATTTGAAACAAGAGAAACAATTTAGTTGAAGTATTTTTGGAAGAACTAGCCCATTGATATTCATTAAACAGCCTCCCTCCTTCTCCAGTTCCCCACAGTTCTGTTAACAGTTCTATCTTGTATTCCATTGGCTCTTCTTCCTTATCCTCCAGTATGCTCTGAAATCTTGGTTGGTAAAATGTCTTTTCCATTTCCAATATTGTCTTTATATTTTTAAGTCTTCATTTATCTGAGTCTGGCTGTTAGCTCCTTCCTTTAGATCCTCCATATTTGTGTCAGCATTCTCTAGTTTTCCTTCTATTTTCTGGGTTGCTAGTTCCTTGTCTATATTTTCTGAGTTTGTAGATTTAAATTAGAATATTGTTCTTTCATCTCCTTTGTGTTATGTTTAATTTCATCACGAGCTAAGGTAATTGTTTCTTGTGTTAATTTCAACATGGGGAGAATTTCTTTCTGTGATTCATCGGTATTTTCTTGGTGGTATGTTAAACTGAGGCTTCTGGATACATATATTAAGGATGGTTTTTTTTACCATTTAGCGCTAAATATGGAACATCCATTTTATTTTTTGTAAGTGGCCTTTATAGAAATTGTTTAAGAGTTTAGAAAGTTTCAGTCAATTGTCATTGGAGTCCAGATTATCCAATTTATCAATCCATTCTTAAACCTCCCCTAAGCAAATATAAGTAAAATTCAATTTTTTCTGCCCAATGAGAAATATATCCTTTCTGTCCATGGAGAAAAAAGAACATTAAAGGTTATTTATCAATCAAGATTTATAATCTAAAATGTTCCATCATATCAGGTAATAATGTATGTTTCTTCTATAGGAAAATAGTTCCACAATACAGTTCTGAAGGTTAGTATTTGTGTTCATAGTTTAGACAGGCCAATTTTAGAGTACTTTATTGTCTCTGCCACACAGATAAGCAGCCTCCAGGTCTGTTCCCTTTTCTCAGTTGCACTCTTCAGCCAAAGTCTTACCTAATTCTGGGCTTCAAGCCAGGTTTCTTTTAGGCATAATAAGTTGTAGTGCCATAATTCACCACTAGATATCATTAACACCGTTTTTCAGTTTTTAAACAAAACCTGTATTGTAAACTTTTTAAATCTCTTTTTTTAAAAAAGAAAAGAAAAAACGGGTCTTAAAAGCACTTTTAGTCCCCGAATTTCCAAGCCGTGTGTGTGTGTGTGTGTGTGTGTGTGTGTGTGTGTGTGTTGGCTGGAGCACCCGGTCTATCAAGTATAGGATAAATCAGTCTGTTCTGCATTTCACTCCAATCTGGGAGCATGTTTTGCAAGCAGACGTCACATACTGTGAACACTGTAAATTCAAAATTTATATATGTGTGTGTCCCAAGTAATTAATTTGCCGCTTTTCTTTTTCTGAGGGAATGGGACAGAAATTCCCCTTCCCTCTCTCATCAGGGGGAGTGCTTTGGGCAGTTTTTCAGGAAGAAGTCTTAAAATCATAAAGAGAGGATCAGGTCTCATCCAGTTTCATCTACATTGCTGTAAGGTTGCTTGTTGGTGCTTATTGTCTTCCGTTGTCAGCAGCTTTTGACTGGCTACATGAATGTAGCCAATCTGTCTCCCGCCGGTTTAAAGGGCTTCTTTGGATCAAACAGGAGGGCTGCTGCCCCTCCCCCCACAATCAACAAGGGTCCCTTTCTTGCCACCTCTACGGGGCGACTTTCGACCCTTTCCATGGTCCCCCAGCGGGGCAAAATCGAACGCAGAAGACGGAACCCCATCTTCCTGAATCCAATTTTCTCTTTTAATTCTTGTTGGGACCACTTCAAATGTTGTTTCAGTCCTGGCCTATTCTGGTTCTGTTATTACTTCTATATTATCATTTTTGTAATTCATATCAGCATTTTCCTTTATATTTGTAATTGTTATCTAAGTCTCTGCCACTATTCTATTATTTTGGGGTCTTCCACTTTCACAATTTTTCTGAATCTCTTCCAGGTCTGCGTCCCCTTTTATTTCTGGTAATGAATCTCCTTTGATCTGCTAATTTTTGTTCAGTGATATTTGCGTCTGGATAAATTCTTTTCCAATGTTCAAACATTTGCTTTAAGTATCTTTGTTGGTTCCGATTTATAATAGCAAGCCATAATGGTGTGATTTTCAGATTCACTATATTTTTGTCTTGTCTATGTTTGTTCTGCCAGTAATTCTACAAACTAGGCCCTGGTGACCCAGCCATAGATCCTAAGTTGACAGATGCCAAGGAATTCTAAGGTCTGGAGCAATCTTTGTAGAGTTGGACAATAACCAATTTGATATAGGATTCTTTTTCTGATTTCTTATAATAAATGGATTGATGGATATACTTAATCTTGCTCTTCTGCTAAGACTTGTCTGACCTAGTGACCCTTTTGGTTGAATACATTACTACCGTCATAGCTCTCAATCTTATCAGAGCATCTTAAGGATTTAAACTCTGTTTCTCATCCTGCTAAAGGAATTCAGCTTCCCTCATCAGGCAGCTCTTTCAGCCAGCCCCCAGAGGCAAGAGGATTCCTTTTGGCAGGTGGCAGTAGCTTGCAACCTTCCCCATGGAAGCTGGCAGACAAGGTTGCAAATCACATTATCACAGGGTGCTTGGTAACTGGTTGTAAGTGCGAACAGGTTGCCAAGCGTCCAGATTGCGATCACATGACTATGGGAATGGTGGTGCAAGATTTTGTGATGTCCAGAAGTATTTTATGGGCCCTTTCTGAGTTTGTCATAATTTCGGACTCTTGTTAAATGAACAGTTGTAAGTTGAGAACTACCTGTACATCATCTTTGATATTGTCACATGTGCCTACAAAAAGAGAGCATATTTTGGAATCCATTCCAAGTTGCAACAACTCAGATGGGAGAGGTAAGAACAGCATTTTATCAGGATGGAAAACATGAAGACATATAAAATATGTCACAATGTGTAACAGCTTCAGATGTGTTGCTTTAGGGCTCTCTCTCCCTCTCTCCCTCTCCCTCTTTCTCTCAATCTGAATACCCCAGATAAGCTTGAATAAAAAGTGCTATGCTATACTTTGGAAAGCTAAAATATTATCCAACTATAAAATGAGATTATCTAAATACATATGAATAGTAATATTATTTTGTATTACCTGTTAATTTTGCATACTTTGCTTATTGTCTTATATCCCACGACATAGCTTTCATCTAATTTAGCTTTTTTATCTTTTTCAACCTTTTTTATATTCTTTTTTTTTGTAAAAAAATTTTTATTTTATTTTCAATTTTACATTACATTCATAAAAAATACTTCAGATAAAGAGTAAAATAAATTTATACACATAACTTTCGGTATTGCTCACCCATTTCCCCCCAAACCGCATCCACCCTCTAACCTCTTCTCTCACTTCCCTCTTTCCCTCTTCTTCCTCACTCTCCCCCTCTCTCCTTCTCCTCAACCTTCCTACTTACTTCTCCCCTTCTTCCTATCTTCTCATTCCAGATGCAGTCCAGGGGAAATGCCCGAGCAATTCCTAACCTTTTTTATATTCTTTATTGCTTCTTATATATTTACATTTTTGTCTTAAGCCAAGATGATTTAAGAATCTGCATGTGATCTGAGTGGTGCACTGTAAAATCTATCCCAACAGATTAATCGACTAATTAAATATATATCTCTCAATAACTGTTCATCAGTATTGATAAATGTATAAATGCCTCTAGTTTTAGGGGGATAGTTGCTGCAAAAAAACAAAAACAAAAGAGGGAATACATTCTGGATGGAGATACTGTACCTGTAGAATTTAAGCTGAGTGAATTTCAACTCCCAGAATTTCCCCAATCAGTATGCTGACTAGAGGAATTCTGGGAGTTGAACTCTACCCAGCTTAAACATGTAAAGGTATTCTCTAAACTGGCTTCTCCCTTTAAAATATCAAGATACTCTTTATTTTTATTGTAGCAAATTGCTTACACCTTCACCTGAGCATTTATTCTTTAAATCTTTGTTTCCTGATATCTACATTTCAATCAAAAACTCCTGGTATAGGAATTAATTTTTGGCTAATTTTATTAGGTTTTTTTCATTGACTATGCAAAAGCCTTTGATTGTGTGGATCACAACACATTGTGGCAAGTTCTTAAAGAGATGGGAGTACCAGACCATCTCATTTGTCTCTTGAGAAACCTATATGCGGGTCAAGAAGCAACAGTGAGAACTGGACACAGAACCACTGATTGGTTCAAAATTGGAAAAGGAGTCCAGCAAGGCTGTATACTGTCGCCCTGCCTATTTAACTTATATGCAGAGCACATCATGAGAAAGGCAGGGCTAGATGAATCAAAAGTTGGAATTAAGATTGCCGGGAGAAATATCAACAACCTAAGATATGCAGATGATACCACTCTAATGGCAGAAAGTGAAGAGGAACTAAAGAGCCTCTTGATGCGGGTGAAGAAGGAGAGTGCAAAAGTTGGCTTGAAACTCAACATTAAGAAAACCAAAATCATGGCATCTGGCCCTTTCAATTCCTGGCAAATAGATGGGGAAGAAATGGAGGTAGTGACAGATTTTATTTTTCTGGGCTCCAAGATCACCTCAGATGGGGACTGCAGCCAAGAAATTAAAAGACGCTTGCTCCTGGGGAGGAAAGCTATGGCAAATCTAGACAGCATACTAAAAAGCAGAGACATCACCCTGCCAACAAAAGTGCGTATAGTCCAGGCCATGGGTTTCCCAGTTGCAATGTATGGCTGTGAAAGTTGGACCATAAGAAAGGCTGAGCGCCAAAGAATTGAGGCCTTTAAACTATGGTGCTGGAGAAGACTCCTGCGAGTCCCTTGGACTGCAAGGCGTTCAAACCGGTCAGTCCTAGAAGAGATCAACCCTGACTGCTCTTTAGAAGGCCAGATCCTGAAGTTGAAACTCAAATACTTTGGCCACCTAATGAGAAGGAAGGACTCACTGGAGAAGGGCCTAATGCTGGGAAAGATTGAGGGCAATAGAAGAAGGGGACGACAGAGAATGAGATGGCTGGATGGAGTCACTGAAGCAGTAGGTGTGAACTTAAATGGACTCCAGAAGATGGTGGAGGACAGGAAGGCCTGGAGGAACGTTGTCCATGGGGTCGCGATGGGTCGGACACGACTTCGCAATTAACAACAACAACAACAATTAGGTTTTTATTAATTTTATTAATAATTTTATTATATTAGGTAATTTACTATGTCAATAGCACTATTAAATAATTAGTCAACTATTTGAATGGTTTGATTCAAGATCTTTATTACAGAAGGAAAACATTTGCCTGAAAATGCAAAGCTACAGGAAATCTCAATAACATTGCAATCTTCAGCAAAATTACATGGAAATAAGTCTCTGAAATTGATAGGATATACTGTAATTTTAAATTATTATGATTGGGTTGAGTAGTGTAGAAATCACTAATGGAATAAAGAATCTGAATTACAACATCCTTGCAGGCAAGGATATCGAAAGAAATATAATTAAAGGGGGGAATACAAGCTAATTTGAGGGCTCATTCACAGGGAGCTCCATTTCCATCTGTCATGTTTCCCATCGTTAGTTCCCTAGAGACTAAAATGGATGATCTGAAACTTGAGCTGGCCAAGAACAAGGAGTGTATATTGAGAGCTGTATGCAACAAAATTTCATTTTGATGTATGCAGATTGGTGAACATTCAAAGTGACAATAAAGTTGTTTATTATTAAAAAAAAAGTTAAGGGGGCATGTCTGAACTTTAGAGCATACAATATAGAAAATGCATTGTCAACAGAATATATTTATGTATAATAATATGCATTAGATCAGCTTTGAATTTCTTTGAGAAGTTGTTTAATGCAGGGGTCCCCAACCTGTAGGCTGTGGCCCGGTAGTGGGCCGTGGCCTACTGGCCACCAGGCTGCAGGACAGGCTGGCCAGTGAGCACGCACATGCACTTGCACCCCCTCATTTGTGCTAGCGATGCGCTAAAATGAGCTGCCACAGCGCCTCAGCACAAAAACGGGCCACTGCCACACCAAGGGGCATGAAAATGGGCGCCACTCCACCGCGGGGTGCAAAAATGGGCCACCACATTGCAAGGTTCAAAAATGGATGCCACTACGCCATGGGGTGAGGAAATGGGCTACCACTGTACCACGGGGTGCAAAAACGGTGCCGCCACACCACAGGGCACAAAAATGGGCTGCTGCCTTGCTGCAAGGCGCAAAATGGCCGCCACCATGCCATGGGACACAGAAACAGAGGTGCTGCACCACACAAGAACGGGGCAGGGCTAGTGAGTATCATGCGGGCGCTAGCCCTGCCCCATTTGCGGCGCGCATGTGCTCGTGGCCCCATGTAAAATGTTTCCCCTCACTTTTTCTCCAGTCCACCAACTGACAAAGGTTGGTGACCTCTGGTTTAATGAATCCAATGTTTAAATATTTGCTAGGAAATAGTTGATCATTTTACAAAGATCATCCATGCTGCTATCCTTACTGTACAACTATGTTAATCAGAATGATTGTTCCGCTATAAAGAGGAGCTGTACTTGTCCATTTCTAGCAAAGAATCTGAGGCTTGTAGATTTTTAAGCAAAATTAACTTGTGTTAAAGGCAAGATGAAACTTTACACATAAATGTTAATTTATGTGTCCTTGCTGGAAGTGAGAACATGTTGTATATCCAACAACTATGCAAAGAGAATTGGAGGGCCTCTAAGTTTTCTAACCACTACTAAATGTTGAATTTATCGAAGGTGGTACAGGATAAAGAAAAAATGTAAGAAGCAAAGGTTTGTCAGAACAGAGTGCTTTTCAAGGATCTTTGAAGGTGATGAGGGTAAATTCTAGGACCAGCTGATGAAGGGAAAAAATCTCTCAACTCTACAGAAAAGTGTTGGAAGACGTTGCTTAAGAACACAGGTGATGTGATTCAGTGCCTTACAACAAAGTGCACATGCCCCTACGCCTGACTTCCATAGAAGCGACCGCTAATCTCAAATTATTATCATTGTATGGTGGGTAGCGTATTCTGTTGATTGCTTCCAGGCCTATGTAACGCAAGAGACAGCCACGGAAATGAGTAAATGTGTCGAAAGTAAACTTGCCGTGGTACTTGCCAAATCCACTGCATCCTGCAATATTAAAAAAAAAAATTCAGATCAAATCTTGCTGACTCATCTTTCAGCTGACAACACAACCTGAGCAGCCCTTGAATGTATTCTTGTTCATCAGGCTAGATCAGCGTTGCTGGCTGTGGAATTCTGGGAGTTGAAGTCCTCATGCCTTAAAATTGTCAAGTTTGGGAAACACTGGGCTAGATAATAGCTGCCTTTAAAAATTTCTTTCCTCATAGTACTTACTACAAAAGGTTTATATTCAATGGATATTGAACAACTACTCTTAAAGAAGAGACTAAAGAAGAAAATCCCATATAGACAAACAAAGCTTGGTTAGATAATAATTTCCTGGTCTGCTGTGTTTCATGATTGGTGAACTACAACTGCCTCAATCCCCAATAAAATGAAATTATTGCTTTTGGGGGGGGGGTTATCATCTCAAATGTTGATTTACACGGCATGTTAAGAAGCTGTGTTTAGTGTAGCGTATTGAACCAGAACTGATTATTTTTTGATCTTGTTAGCACCACTTAAACAAAATTAAAATAATGAGTCTCCTCCTATTACAGCTGCTTTCCAGTATAATGTAGACCAGGAGATTTCCTGCTCCCTCATTTTCTTTAAAGATCAGATCATCTGTCATCCCTTGAATCATACTTTCAGTGATATTTCTTTACCGGATTCCTTAATTCCTTCAACAGTGGCAGAGCTTCTAATATACTGCCTTTACTGAAAAGAGCTGGGATACATTTCAGAGAAGTATCTGCCTTGAAAATAGCCCATGTTGGAACTGTATAGCACAATCAAACATCACCAAAAGTGTTTTATGACATTTTGTATTATGTCCCAAGCTGTTTAATAATAATAATAATAATGATAAAGTTGGAAGGGACCTTGGAGGTCATTTAGTCCAACCCCCTGCTCAGGCAGGAAACCCTATACCATTTCAGACAAATGGCTGTCCAGGCTCTTCTTAAAAACTTCCAGTGTTGGAGCATTCACCACTTCTGGAGGCAGGTTGTTCCACTAGTTAATTGTTCCAACTGTCAGGAAGTTTCTCCTTAGTTCTAGGTTTTATGATCATTTCATGTCATAGAATGGTTTTATTTAATTTGCCAAATTTCAGTTTTACTGGAGTCCTGAGTTCTAGATTTTGGACACATTCTGTAAGTTAGCCCGTCTGAGGTACCTTGAGTCAAAAAGTTTGTCCTATGGTGCACTGTTTTGCCCAGTTAAAGGTTATATGAATCAAGTTTTAGTAGTGTATAGACAACCATAGCAACCTTGGCTCTTTTATGACTCGTGGACTTCAATTCCCAGAATTCCTGAGCCAGCCATGCTGGCTCAGGAATTCTGGGAGTTGAAGTCCACAAGTCATAAAAGATCCAAAGTTGCCTACCCCTGACTAGCTTATAGCACAGAGGGATATTTACTATTTGAGCAATTTGGCTTAACCTGCAAATGGTTTAAAATGGACTTTTAACATTTTTGTCTTTAGTCTGATGAAAAACATCATCCAGAGGGAGAACCTGTCTGGTTGAAAGGGAAGGATAAGGATGGAAGTAAGAAATAAAGATAACATAGAAAGTTAATCATACCGATGCCACCAAACGGTAGGGTAATCAATGATGCGTGCAGCAGGGTATCATTACCACAAAAGCCACCACTGGTAGTAGAATTCAGTACCTTGTTCACAACCTATCAAGAGAAAAAGAATAGAAGCGTATTAAGAGTCCTGTTCTTAATCTTCCAAACGTGAATTTGATCAAGTCCCAGCTCTTTAATAATAAGGGACACGATACAAACAAGGGTCTTTAGCTTTTGTGCCACTACAAATATTTGGAATGTTGAAAATGTGCCACAGACACACTCACAAAATGGCTGATGTTGTAGATGTAGTCCAGGGGTCTTCACACTTGGCCCTTTTATGACTTATGGACTTCAACTCCCAGAATTCTTCAGCCAGCGTGCCTAGCTGAGGAATTCTGGGAGTTGAAGTCCGCAAGTCATAAAAGAGCCAAGTTTGAAGACCCCTGATGTAGTCAATTAGCCATTTCCTAAAAGTCAATTGGAAGGCAACAATAAAGAAATAAAAATTCTCTATGAATCTTGGTAAAATAGTTGAGAGATCGAAAATGCAAATGGCCCTTTTAGACTCGCCCTCCCTGTTTTCTACCCCCATGCTCTTTTCATACAGAGCCAAGAATGATGAATAGAAATAAAAATGACAAGTTCAGTTAATATAATCCATGTTCTGTCTCAAGCAAGGGCTTTGCAGAATAGAGGTAGTCCTCAATTACAACCATTCATTTAGTGACCGTTCAAAGTTACAATGGCACTGAAAAAAGGGACACTTAAAAACTGTTGCAGCGTCCCCATGGTTATGTATCAGAATTTGGGCAACTGGCATGGATTATGACAGTTGCACTGTCCCAAAGTCATGTGATTACCACTTGTCTTCCCAGTTGGCTTCCAACAAGCAAAGTCAATGGGGGAAGCCAGATCCACTTAATGAATGCATGATTCACTTAACAATCTGTGATTTGCTTAACAACTGTGACAAGGTTGTCAAATGGGGGCAAAACTAACTTAAAACTGCCTTGCTTAGCAACGGAAATTTTGGGCTCTATTGCAGGCATAAGTCGAGCAGTACCTGTATACTCAGGAATTTGTCTCAACTTCTCTTTTCGCAGGTAAAGGGAAAAGTTGTTGATGCAAAGGCAGAATTCTGAGTTACAGAGCAAGAAGTGTTGATACCTGAATTTGGGGGGAAAATGGAGGATGCCATCTCCCCACCAGCTCTGATAATGTAAATAGCTGAAATTACCTTCGAGAGTTTAGGAGAGGTCCAGGGACAGAGAAACAGAGGACTTTGCTTCAGGATTCAGATTATTAGGAATGGGTAACTGCTATGATTAGAGATGGTGCTAACCTTTAATTTCTTTTTTTCTCTCTTTATTAGAAAATGTGTTCTTTCTTATTCCTATTTCTCTGGAAAGTTAAGGCATTCTGTATAATTTGAGAGTAAGTTGAATATTTATTTTTCTCTTTGCCAATTCCTTGGGACCCGATACAGAACTTGAAAACTGTCTTTCCCCCAAATTTACTAATTAAGCAGACAACCACAATCTTAGTCTAAGAGCCAAGGTGGCACAGCAGTTAGAGTGCAGTACTGCAGGCCACTTTAGCTGACTGTGTTCAGCAGGTCAGCGGTTCAAATCTCACCGGCTCAAGGTTGACTCAGCCTTCCATCCTTCCGGGGTAGGTAAAATGAGGACCCATATTGTTGGGGGCAATGTAAATATATATATACATTGCTTACTGGTGTACACTGCTTAGTGAGTGCTTGCACTTAAAGCGGTATATAAGTCTCATAAATAAATAACATAAAATAAATAGTCTGTCAAGAGCATGGTGTGCATTTTGTAAATTGGATGATATATATCCTAGCGTTTTGAAAAATAAAGTTTGATTGTGAAATTGATCTGTCTCCAAAAGAAGAAGAATAGAGTGAAATAATTAGTTACATAACTTTATGCTACAAGGATAGAATAATTATAGAAATGATTTCATTTTCCCCCACTATTCATTTGCCCAAAGGACAATACATATAGTAGGAGCCTCTCTCTTTCCTAGACCAAGGATGGAGTGAAGCTCCTTGGAAGAACACGGGTAATTATCAATCCTGGAAGGAAGGACAGAGTGTATAAACCTTGCAGGCTTCTAGAAGAGAACATTTGAAATGGGAGGAAGGTATGTTTGTCTATGACATGTCTCTCCACAATCTATAACATATACAACACCTCAAAAACAAGCCCAGTAATAAAGCTGCCCTCACCCAGTATAACCACTAGTTGCTCTCCTGAACTTGTGGTGGGATGTAGTCAGTGTTCAAACTCTCACTTTATTATTTGCTTAATTTTGTTCTCCTTGGCTACTGGATTTTCAGTATAGTTACATGGTTGTATTTTAATTTAGCCACATCTCTTCTTCTGGGAGTTAGAAATCACATAAAATATTTAGAAAAGTTCTAGTCAGAAGTAAAGTGACCTCTCAATCATTCTAAGTATCAGACTTTTTAAAAACATCACATGATTTAAAAGAAGAGAAGTGACATAGTGACAGTAAGCACTTGTGCACAGTACAGGGAAGAGGCTGCCATGCAAGTTGTACAAAGCCTTGATTTTTGGGTGCCAATGGGAATATTGATCTAGAAAACCCACATTTGATCTTCTACAAGATGGATATTCCCAAGTTCAAACTCAGAACAAAAATATAATAGGTTGCACATCCATAGCATAAATGAGCATCAAGGCACAGAAGTCAGCAGTTACACAGGAAAGAGACATCTGAGCCAACTGGAATCCAGGAGAGTGCCAACCTCCAGAGGGTCCAGATGCCCCAGAATGTCTGCATAGAAGCTCTTGTGGCACAATAGAAGGGAAAACATTATTATCACACCAAAGCAACTTAGAGCCACCTCCTCAGCAGTGGGCTGGTGATGCGAGGGAGGCTATGCTTTGATGACATAATCATAAAATAGTACTATAATATAGTTTTCTTTGCATTATGAATGTGTGGATGAGCCAATTATTTTTAACAAAGGCTTGTTGGTAAAATAAGACTGGAATTGGGCTTTCCCTCTATATACAAACTACAGAATGGGACAACTCACCACAGCCAACACGTCATGGCCATCTCGCTGTGGTCAACTTGCCACAGCCATCTCACTGCAGCCAACCTGGTGCGGCCATCTCACCACTGCTATCTCACCCCGGCCAATTTGCCATGCTGCAACTCACCACAGCCAACTTGCTTCAGGACAACTCGCCATAGGACAATCCACACGGGATAACTCAATAAATATTATCCACCACTGTTTCTTCAACATTATTTGCATTGACAAAAATGGAAATAAAGTAGAAGAAAAAGTGGTGGATAACATTTATCACATTGTGTTATCCCATGTGGATTGTCCTGTGGCGAATCTTTCTGTGATGAGTTGGCCGCGGCAAGATGGCCACAGTGAGTTGGCTGCAGACAGTTGGCCTAGACCAGGGGTAGGCAACCTCGGCTCTTTTATGACTCATGGACTTCAACTCCCAGAATTCCTGAGTCATAAAAGAGCCGAGGTTGCCTACCCCGGGCCTAGACCTTCCAAACTATATTACAAGTGAGCAAAGAACTACCATGTTGGTTCATCATCGCTCACCACCAAACACAGTGCAAGTCTCTTTTTGTTTGGCCATCATGAGTGGGGTTATGGGAAATAATATAAATTCTTCCAAATACAATATTCTGTGGCTTAAACAGTATACCTTGTTATCACAGGAGAAGGCATACGCAGCTAGTGGGCGTTCTCTGCAATTGATGAAATGTATGGCCTCCTCGATATGATTCACAGTGAGTATTGGCAAGATGGGCCCAAGAACCTCCTCTTGCATGATTGGCTCCCATTCTTTCACATCTGCCAACACTGTTGGAGCTGTAATGGGTAAAAGTTCACATCAAGACTTGTTCTATTTATATACCATACCTTTATTTGGAGAGCTTTAGCTTTCCCCAGGATATCAGTTCCAATGTGCAAACTCAGGAAAACATGACTGCCTTCTTGCTTTATCTAAAACAGACTTTCCCAGATCATAGAATCATAAGGCTGGAAGGGACCTTTGAAGTCTTCTAGTCCAACCCCTGTCCCAGGCAAGATCCTTATACCATCCTGTACAAATGAATGCACAATCTTTTCTTGAAAACCTCCAGTGATAAAACATCCACATCCAGGAGGCAAGCTGTTCCATTAGTTAATACCGTATTTCCATACATAGATTTTTTTTTCCTAATCTCTCTCTTAGTTTGTTAGCTTTCTTAGACTTCAACTTTCAAAATCCCAAGTCTGTTTGGCCAATGACAATCCAACACATCTGGTAAGCATCAACTTGGGAGGTTGATCTAAACTATACCTACTAATCATATATTCTTAATAAGTTTGATTAATTGATTAAATTGCACAAAAGCAGACACATCACTGGAAGCTAAAATCATAAGACTACCTCTGATTTACTTTGGCCATGTTATGCATGCAAATTCATTGGAGAAGACTAGGAATGGTTAGTGGACAAAAAAGGAGGAGGATAACATCAAATCTGATGTTCTGGCTTGATAACATCAAATCTGATGCAAAGTTGAACATACTACAATTAGAAGCTGTGCTTGACAGGGTAGCATGGAGAGCATTTGCCTATAAAGTTACCAAAAGTTGGACAAAACTAATTGTTAATTAACTAATTTAACTAATTGTTAAAAACAGCAATTGATTTTGTACTATAAGTCATTTTTGACTCAGTGAACACATCAATTTCTCTAAAAGCTTACTAGTTGAGCTGAGGTGGCACAGCAGTTAGAGTGCAGTACTGCAGGCCACTTTAGCTGACTGTCTTCAGCAGGTCCGCGGTTCAAATCTCACCGGCTCAAGGTTGACTCAGCCTTCCATCCTTCCGAGGTAGGTAAAATGAGGACCCAGATTGTTGGGGGCAATGTAATATATTATATATATATATATATATATATATATATATATATATATATATATATATATATATACACATTGCTTACTGGTGTACACCGCTTAGAGAGTGCTTGCACTTAAAGCGGTATATAAGTCTCATAAATAAATTAAATAAATAAATAAATAAATAGTTAGTGTTCATGAAATGTCTTTTTATCTTTCCCAAATTTCAAATCTTTCCTTTTATTCTTCCTCCAGCCCCAAGCTGTATACTCACCAATATAACGCTCACGCTCATCGGTCTCTCCACCAATGGCCACCCGGCCACATTCCAGCAAAGCTCGGACGCGCTGGAAATGCTTGTCATTGACCATGCGACCAAAATCAGATGATCCCTTGGGATCATTTCCAAAGAATTCACGGATAGCTTGGCGCAAGCAAGGCATCAATTTTTCCTGTGTTTCAAGTGTACAGATCACATAATCTGGTGCAATGCATGTCTGTCCAGCATTGACGAATTTTCCCCATACAATTCGGTTGGCTGCATTTGGGAAACAGCAGTTCTCATCCACATAACAGGGACTTTTACCCCCCAGCTCCAGAGTCAATGGTGTCACATGTTTTGCTGCAGCAGTCATGATGATCTTTCCTACACGGACGCTTCCTATAAAGAAATGGAAAAATTTGGGTCAAAAAAGATATACAGCATAACTCCCATCCAGCATTGGGAGCTCAGTTCTATGCGCAAAAACAATCTAATACTCTTTCATACAGATGAGCAAAACTCCACACACAATATTTAAAAATCTCCATGAAATGTTAATAATAATCAGCAAGGCAACTCTGCTGAAGCAGTTTTATGTAATGCAGAAAGTATTTTCTGATTTACAAAGAATCCCATTTTAGTAACTTGATTGGTTTAAACTAAGATTGTATATACTTTTTTTAACAGTCATATTACACTGCTGATCATTTGTGATCAGCATTCTGTTCCAAGGGCTGTTTCCAAACTGATGCATTTGTTTTGTTTGTTAGGAATTTTGATTCCTGACTAAAAAAACCTCAATTTTTCCCTTATTTTCAGTTCATTTTTCTAACTTATTGTTTTCTGTCTCCTAGAATATATATATTCCATCCAATTTTATTTCGTTGGCAAATTTTATAATGATTCCATCTACCTCTTCATCCAAGTTATTTAAAAATGTCAATTTAGATGTAGAATGTATATAGACAGTCTATTAAAATTCCACATCAAACTCTCTTGCCAAACTCCTATTAAACATGCAGTTCTTGTTATTACCCTGAGCTGTTCTGGGAATGAAAGGGAAAGAAAAATCTTAGTATCTTCACTGTGAGGGAAAAAGCCAGAGAATGTTCATTATTTCCAAAAGACTGAAATTTTGCATTAAGTATTTTTTCTTACTTAAAGTGTAAGTAAGAAAAAATCTTTTGCTTCACTTGTGGGCAAGATCTACAATCTGGAAGCTGCTGATAGCCCAAGTTACAAACACTACATGCAACAGTTTCCCTGGGCCAATGATGATGAACCTATGAGGCATGTCATAGGTGACATGCCACTGTCACAGGCCAGGTTCCACCAGCACCCAACAACAATTCTTGAAAGTGTCCCCATTCTCACACAATTTTCAGAGGCTGTGGAGGCCATGGGAGAAGGGATGTGCTCTTGCGGAGCCTCCAGGCATCCCCAGGGAGGGCCATGCTCTTGTGCAGCCTCCCAAAACTGTGTGAGAATGGGACCTGCTTTAATGTGAGTTTTGGAGCCTTCAGAGGCAGCGGAAGAATATTTTCTGAAGCTGCTTCAAGAACAAAGGCCTCCTGTGACCTGGAGCAGCCTCAGATAGACCACAGGAGCCTGTTAACTAAAAGAGAGCATCATCTGAAGGTAAGGGGCGCATGGCCCACTGAGCCACAAGGGCAATCGTGCTGCTTCCCAAGTTTTGCAAGCCTTGGGAAACAATGTGAGGCTGCCTTTTGGAGTGGCAGCAGTGGCTCTAGGACTGAAGTCAAGGCCCAGGCCTCGACTTCAGGTCCAGCTTTGGCACTGCTATCAAGAATTGCTATTCATGGTGACCTAGATGGGAGGGAGATAGAGAATGTTTCTCTGTTGTTTGGGGAAGGGGTGTGTGTGTGTGTGTGTGTGTGTGTGTGTGTGTGTGTGTGTGTGATGCCAGCAGTGTCAAGTTAGGTATTTTCTGAATTCTTGACATGTCAACCTCACAAGGGTTGTCAACACAGTCCTGGCCTAACGTGCCACTAACTCAGCTGTATTGAGTTGTAGTAAAGTTACTTAATTAAGACACATGGCAAATTGCAGTAATATACACAATTTGGTCTTCTAGAAAGGTATTGTATTAGCTACACAGAGGTAAATTCTACTGCAGATGTTTTGGGGGTTTTTTTGTAAATAATGATCTTCGATAAATAAACAGAACCTTTCAGTTTCAATAGTTGAATATTGGCTTACCACATAGATTTTTGTGTAGTGGTTAATAATATTTTTAAAGTAGTATTGAATAACCTGAAAAGAATATGCAAGAAGGGAAAATCACCTGTGTAGAAGATATAATCAAACTTATTTTCCAGTAATTTTCCTGTTTCTTCAGGACCAGCTGTCACCACAGCAAAGGTTTGCTGTAAAATAGAAAAGGAAGTTCATATTCAGTCAAGTTGCCTGCATATCAGACAGATGGTGTTTTCTGCCCCTGAAACTTTGCAAGATAAAAAGCCTCTTGGGAGCAATTTGGAGTAAGGAAATGATGCACTAAATTAAAAGGAAATTAGGATTTTCCTTAAAAAGATTTTAATTTTAAAATGATTATTTTTTTATTTAATGAGAATATAGTAATAGGGAACCTATGATTTTTTTTTCCTGTCTAACTTTGGGAATGGAATTGTCCTGCCTTCATAGTAATCTCCTAAATTCATTCTTCCTTTATCTATCCCAAATAGTCTTTTGTTAAAGTAACAATATATACTTAGTCCTCTACACTATACTTGGATTTTAAGAAAAACAGAAAGCACATAACCTACATCCAAAATAAACTGACACTGCATATCCAACTGTTAACTGTACATCACCCTTTTGCTGTGGCTGGCTAAGACAGAGCTGACAGCCTTCTTCGTTGAAACCAAGGGGCTAGAAAAAGCACACTAAACCTCAAAAGGTTACCACCACCAGCACCACCACCACCACAGTCTAAAGGGGCAGAAATTAACTCAGCTTCCAAAAACAGATTAAAAATCGGAGATTAGTTCAGATCCAGAGTTTTTCCTCAATGGGCCTAAAGAATTGCCCTCTCATGATTAATTAAGACAGTGGTTCTCAACCTTTCTAATGCCGTGACCCCATAATACAGTTCCCCATGTTGTGGTGACCCCCAAGTGGGTGTGGCCACCAATAAGAGGGAGTAGGACAGCTAGGGAAAAGGGGAAAAAATGGCGGACAGCATGGTTTGGCGACCCCCGTGAAATGGTCGTTCGACCCCAAATGGGGTCCCGACCCACAGGTTGAGAACCACTGAATTAAGACAAAGGCAGAGGAAAAAGCTTCATTCTGATTTTTTAACAAGATAAGCTGGCAGTTGAGGAACTCACTGGATCCAGATAACAAGGCAATGCTTCTGCAAGGAGCTTTTCAGTGCAGCTGCTCACTTCTGAAGGTTTGAGAATCACACAATTCCCTAGGAGAAGGAGAGAACACTTTACCATGGTTGCAACAGATTAACATCCACCACATGCTTGCATCTTTAATTGCATTGCAATTAAGCAATGGAACAACCTGCCTCCAGAAGTGGTGAATGCTCCAACACTGGAAGTTTTTAAGAAGAGACTGGATAGCCATTTGTCCAAAATGGTGTAGGGTTTCCTGCCTGAGCAGGGGTTGGACTCGATGACCTCCAAGGTCCCTTCCAACTTTATTATTATTGTTATTATCTCCTGGAAGAACACCCATAAGATCTAATGTCTAAAATGAATTAGGAACTAGCTTCTCACTCACCAGCTGCAATGGCTCCCACAAGGGGCAACAAAGTAAGCTGGATAGGGAAGTTAAAGGCTCCAATGATCAGCACCACACCAAATGGTTCCTTGCGAATGAAGGCGCAATCCAGCTGCGTCAGCTACAGAAAAACCAGGAAAAAAAAGTTCAGATAGAAAGCCCTTCTTCAGTTTAATGAGATAATATATCCTTTAGATTTTCACCCCTCTCCAATCTAGAAACATTCCTTTTCATTTGTCCTCCTCCCACTCAGCTTCTCTCCTTACTAGGTTCTTGTTCACGCTTTCATCCTTCATCCAGCAGTTTAAGTTGTTAAGAGCGTTGGCCAGCTCATTTCTGACTAAGAGAATCTCAGTGGTCTCAGTTTCAAAGCAGGGCTGCGGAGAAGAAAGACAAAATGAGATGCATCAGTGATGTCCGTGCTGAGTTCAGAGGTGAACTATGCAGCAATTCTTCACTGAGCAAACTCGTGTCTCATTCATAGTAAAGTTTTATCATGCTATCATCTCAATTGATTCTTGAAATGTAATATTTGGGTGTTACACCAACTAAGCACTAAGCTTAGTTCTCTAGATACTTAAACTTTAATCAAGCAGGAGGCTCACAGATAAACTCAGCTACAAATAAAACTATAAAGTATATAGTTAGATGACTGACTATGCAAAGAAATTAAAGTCTTGATAAATTTAGATGTTTTTGCCCCACTTTTCTGAAATAAAGTACTTGGCTGTACTCTTAATCATTTGTTGACTGCTCAACTATGTTTACATAATGATTTTCCATATCCTGCTTGCCACCTTGCTAAACTCAGTTCTCATGGCACATACAGAAAACATTGCTTCCTTTTCATAATTCTTTTCATGGAAAATCTAACAAAGAAAAAAATAGAATAGCTGTCCTATGTTTATTAACTGGCAAGCAAGCCCTTCATTTGCAAGTCTCCTCTGAGCTGTCGGGTGCTCTAGATGGATGGCCCACTCACCTTGTGTAGGTCCTCACACAGGGCACGCTGTATATCGGCCTGTCTTTCTTCCAGAAAGTGACACAGGGCTTCCAGCTGTGTGACCCGATACTCCTTTGGACGGGTCTTTCCTGACATCCAGGTAGCACGTAAGCAATCTACTAGGCCAGCATAGGGGTTTGTACTAGAGCAAAATAAACACTCATAAAATCAAAAGCGTTATGGGAAAGTCCCATTCTTTTTTATCATTTATGTTAATCCTGATCCCACAAGGCAGGATGCTCTGTAAGAACTGGATGGATAACTGTATTGCCTTTCTTTACTTTAATAACAGAGTTTGGGAATTTCTGCCATGGCTCAATACGTTTTTTGGCTTCCCAACACTTAATACAAAGATTTTTACTTCAGAGAAGACTCAAAATAATATTTTCCTTTTGGACCCACACTTGTGTCATTTTTTTTCTAAAGAATGTCTACAGACCCCTCACATCCTGGACAAAAACCATTTCAACTTCTTCCCTTAAGACGATGCTATAGGGCATTGCACACCAGAACAACTAGACATAAGGACAGTTTTTTTCTCCATGACGTCACTCTGCTTAACAACTAATCCCTACAACACTGTCAAAATACTTAGTAAAGCTGTATTATTATGATAATCCTCATCTTTCCTATTATCTATCCTTATCTTCTTATGACTATAACTTTACTGCTTGTATCTTACAATTTATATTGTTTTTTTTACCCTAGTATGATTTATGTGGTTTGTTTAGCTAGTACTCTATAACTATCACTAAGTGTTGCATCATGATTCATGATGAAGTGTTGTTTTTCACGATTTATGATGAATGTATTTTCATGTTGTATATGATCATGATTATTAAATCCTTCGTTCACGTGCGAATGATGAAGACACATGGTGACAACTAAAAATGCTTTATTCTCCTACTCCAACTCCAAGCAAAAAACAAAAGGCACACAGGCCTTTTTATAGGGCTTGAAACCCGGACAGAGTGAACCAATAAGAGTTCTTCTTTCTTCGCGCCTTGCGCATGCGCAGAAGGCTGGCGCCACTCTGTCTGGTCCCGGGCAGCTTTTAGAATGCCCAGGACCATTTGCAACAATTCTGGGCCTGCTGAGTTTCCTCATCAGGCCCAGGACACAACACCCCTCCCCCCTGGATAGAACACACACAATTCCCCATTTCTTTACAATAATAATCAAATAAATTAAAAGAAAATAATAGCCTGTTCACATGCAGACACCCTTCTTATAACTAATAGAGTTAGCTAACCAACCCACTCTCTAATGTGGACTTCGTGTGTCTATCTTCTACCTCACATAGGTCCCATCTCCTCAACCTAGACCTGTAAGGTCCCTTGTACTGACAAGAACCTCACATATTCGCCTAGATGCTTAGGAGGGGCCTTAGCCCGTTGTGACCTACGCAAGGTTAGGGAGGGTGCCTGGCCTGTCAGCTCACCTGCCCAGCTAGGCAGACCAGGACTTGTTCTTAAGGGCACCTGGCCTACCGGCCCGTCTATTGGGCTCGCTATGCACAAGTTTTGCAGGTGACCCCTGGTGAGGCGTGCCAACAGAATTGCCAGAGCTCTCCCTAATCTCTGAGAGCAGCTGAAATTCCCCAACCCTCTGAATTGGCTGAGGATTCCCCAACTACCCTGGATGGCTCCAGGGAACTTAGTCCCTCAAACCTGCGACCAGTCTCGGACGTGACCTGCGTTGCAGGTGTGCCCCAATACTCCCAGTCCGCTGTGGCCGAGGTGCCAGAGTCAGTGGCCACCTCTATGGCAAACCCCGCCTCAGGTGAATTCCTGTTTGGAGCTCTTGCGGATACGCATGACTCCCTGTTCGGCGCAATAGCTGAACTCTGAAGATGCCCTTGCACCTCCCCTGGGAAATCCCTAGTGACCTGTGGTACGTCCCAGCAACAGTGAGATTGTGTCTCAGAAGGTTGACCTGAAGTGCGACGTGGTTCCTGGGCCCCCTACCCCCCGAGAGCGGAGGCATGGGAGGAATCCACAGGGGACAACCACCAGCGCAGTTGATTGATGTGACACCACAGGACGCGGCCATTTCCCAAGGTCACTTCGTATGAGAGAGGTCCAGAAATCTTACAGATGACAGCAGGAACCCACAGATGACCAGGAGCGTAGTTCCTAGACCAGACCGGATCACCCAACTGTAGTCTCCTTGGTGCCCACGGTTGCGACACCTGTGAAGCCACCCCGTCTGAGTGCAACCTGTCCAATTTAGTAATGAGTCTGCGACCCCAGCGGAGATCAGCTGGGCTCTTCCCAGTGGTCATGCAAGGTGTGGTGTGGTGTGCAAGAAGAAAGTCAGCTAACCTGTAATGCCAGCTACCGAACGTGAGTCTTTTGAGTGCGTCCTTGGTGGTGCGCACCATCCTTTCAGCTTGCCCGTTGGTGGAAGGGCGGAAGGGAGCTGACGTTGCATGCTGGATCAGGTTGGCCTGAAGAAAAGCCTGGAACTCAGAAGAGATAAATTGAGCGCCATTATCTGAAACCAGGACATCTGGAAGTCCATGTGATGCAAAAATTCCTCTCAACACCTGGATAGTCCTGGCAGTAGTAGTGGAGGAAACAGGAACAACCTCTAGCCACTTGGAATGGCTATCAACAAGGATAATGAAGAATTGCCCCTGGAAGGGCCCAGCATAATCTAAATGTACCCTTGACCAAGGTGTGTGTGTCTCCTCCCACATGTGTACAGGGACCTGAGGCATTTCAAGCCCATGCACCTGAGCCTTGATAGCTTTATCAAGCCCAGGCCACCAAAGATGGCTGCGCACAAGCGCTTTCATCCTGACTATCCCAGGATGTCCCTCATGCAGAGAGATCAATACTCTAGACCTCAATGAGGCTGGGATGACTACCCTGCTACCACATAAAAGGCACCCATTAAAGGTAGACAAAAACTTTGAAATGTCACATCTGGACACGTGTCAGGCCATCCTGACAACACCCATGTCAGCACACGTGTAAGAGTGTGATCAGTGGCAATTTCAGCAGCCACATCCCTAGCATTGAGGGGAGATTCAGGCAACTCCTGAATGGAAAGAATATTTATGGCAGGAGCAGGGTCTGCTTCTACCTGAGTTAAAGGCAATCTGCTTAGGCCATCTGCATGGCCCATTTCTTTTCCAGGTTTGTGAACTAGAATGTAGTCATATGCTGACAGGAAAATGGACCATCTCAGCATATGAGGAGAAATGATATGTGGTGTCTGTTTATTAGTAGTAAACAAACCCAACAGAGGCTTATGGTCTGTATAGACCGTGAAGTGGTGGCCATATAAGAAATCATGAAATTTCTTTATGCCAGCCACTATGGCCAAAGCTTCTCTGTCAATTTGAGCATAATTTCACTCTGCAGAAGACAGAGTCCCTGAATAATAGGCCACAGGCTAAGTACTGCTCCCACCCCATAAGGAGATGCATCGCATGCGATGCAAACAGGCAGTTGCTCATTGTTGCTCATTCAAATGCGCTAAAACAGCATTAGAAGTGAGCAAGGCCTTAAACTCATTGAAGCTCTTGTCATGGACTTTAGTCCACTGCCAATGAGCCTGCTTGTCTAAGAGTCTATGTAACGGCTCAGCCACTGCAGCTTTGTGTGGGAGAAATGCATGGTAAAAATTTAATAGCCCCAAGAAGGCTTGCAGCTCACTCTTGGACTTGATGCTTGGGGCCTGTTGAATAGCTTGTAGTTTAGCTTCAGTAGGGTGAATGCCTTGGGCATCAACCTGAAACCTAAGAAGTCAATGGAAGTGACTCCTATCTTGCATTTATCCTGCTTTAGCTTAAGGCCTGCTTTTTGAAAATGAAGCAAGACAGCCCTTAATTTTTCTGCTAAATTTTGAGATGACTCCCCAGCAATGAGGACATCATCGAAGTAGGGACAGACCCCAAGAATACCTCGAAGTGTGCTCTCCATGACACTTTGGAATATGCCAGGGGCTACATTGACCCCAAATTGCAGTCTCTTGACCTTGAAGGCCCCCCTGTGAGTTACAATAGTATGGGCCTCTGCAGCTGCCTCATCAACAGGTAGCTGTTGATAGGCCTGTGCCAGGTCAAGCTTCGCAAAAATGTGCCCCCCCCCCGAGGGAGGCCAGGATGTGGTTTACAACAGGGACTGGATAAGTGTGCTGTTGCAACGCCTTATTCAGTGTACTCTTGTAGTCTGCACATATACGTATTTCCCCATTAGCCTTTAGAGGTGTTACTATGGGAGTTTCCCATGGACTAGAATACACAGGTTCTAAAATGCCCTGCTGGAGCAATTTGTCCAGTTCAGCATCTATCTTACCCTTGAGGGCAAAAGGTACCCTCCTAGGCTTAACCCTGATGGGCATGATGGTTGGGTCTAACCATAGCAAAAAGGGAGGCCCCTTGTAGGATCCTAGTTCTGAACTAAACACATCTGCAAACTCCTTGCAAACCTCTGCAAGGCCCAGCGTTTGCAAGCTGTGCAGCCCAGTTACTTGGATTCCCAGAGCCTCGAACTAATCGAGTCCAATAAGACCCGTCCGTTCACCCCCAACAACCACCACATCTAGGGAACCTTCAAAATCCTTATCCTGTACTTTAAGAGTGGCCTCCCCCCTAACACACACCATAGAATTTTGAAAATCAGTGAGTATTAGATTCAATGGCCTGAGTTTAACTCGAAGGCCACTACTGCTGCAAATCTTTTTGAAGGTATTAATTGAAATAATGGAAAGAGCGGACCCAGTGTCCAACTCCACCCGTAAGGGAACCCCTTGCAACCTTACATTAATGGAAAGTTTCTTCTTAAGGGGCTTGTGTGTCCCTGTTCTCAGAATGCTCCTGCGCGATGTGCAGAAACCCACCCTGTGTTGGCTGGGGACCCTGGTACCTTTCTGAAGCAATTCTTCCTGAGGTTGAACCTTCTGGCGACCCAAACAGATGGATGCAATGTGGCCTTGCCTGCCACATGCCCAGCAAATTGTGGAGCGGAACCGGCAATCAGCTCGCTTGTGGCGTCCTCCACACCCGAAGCATTGAAGAGATGCTGTGGCCTTGACCAGACGTCCCTTCTGCCTCCTCTCAGCTGGCTAGTGAAGTCTGTCGACCTCCTCTTCAGGATCCATTTCTGATCCTTCTCGAGCGTCCTCTTGATGGATGGTAGCTGTGTCTGGAGGATTCCTGGTGAGGCGCAAGGCCTTCACAGCCCCACCTGCTGCTTCCTCAGCTGCCACCTCTCGCAACGCATCTTGGAAGGAAACCTTTTGCAAAAATCTTTTGTTGTAAGGCTCTTACAACAAAAAGCCGCAGACAAAGCAATCTCGCAGCCTCTCTTCCAGATCCTTGAACTCACAAGGTCTGGCTGCTTGCCTTAAGGCCGCAATAAAGTCTGCAGCAGATTCACCCAGCCTCTGGTCTCTCTGCTCGAACGCGTGCCTCCAAGCAATGATGGATAACTTCAGCTGGAAGTGTTCCTTCAACATTTTCTTCAAGTCAGTATATGTTACTGACTCCAGAGGTGCAGGGGCCACCAGATTTTCTGCAATGTCAAAAGCTTCTTGTTCACAGGCACACAAAAGAGTTGCTGCCTTCAGGCCATCTTCTCTAATCTGATTTATTCTGAAGTAGTTCCCCACCCGTGCTACGTAGGAATTCCATCTCTCTGGGTGGGAGACATCAAAATCAGTCAAGCAACCAATCTTCAACATTATAAAGTTTACAATCTTCACCACTTGCTTCCTCTGCAAGCTGCTGTTTGGGGAAAGGGTCCTTTAGCTGAGCTCACCCTCCAGCGACGCTATACTGGCGGGCTGGGACGCTGATTCAGACGCCGTCTTCCCCTCTTCAGGACTTCCAGGGTAAGTCCTTAAATCTTTTGTTTCAGCTTGCAAAGGATCCCACCTTCGTCGCCAGTGTTAAATCCTTTGTTCGCATGCGAATGATGAAGACACATGGTGACAACTACAATGCTTTATTCTCCTACTCCAACTCCAAGCAAAAAACAAAAGGCATGCAGGCCTTTTTATAGGGCTTGAAACCCGGATAGAGTGAACCAATAAGAGTTCTTTCTTCGCATCTTGCACATGCGCACAAGGCTGGCGCCGCTCTGTCTGGTCCCGGGCAGCTTTTAGAATGCCCGGGACCATTTGCAACAATTCTGAGCCTGCTGAGTTTCCTCATCAGGCCCAGGACACAACAATGATTATCACTGTTAGTCACTGGAGAAGGGCCTAATGCTGAGAAAGATTGAGGGCAATAGAAGAAGGAGACAACAAAGAATGAGGTGGCTGGATGGAATGTGAACTTAAATGGACTCCAGAAAATGGTAGAGGACAGGAAGACCTGGAGGAACGTTGTCTGCGGGGTTGCAATGGGTCGGACATGACTTCGCAATTAACAACAACACTATTACTTGTATGTACACTGAGAGCTTATGCACAGGAAACAAATTCCTTGTGTGTCCAACCACACTTGGCCAGTAAAGAAGTAAGAAGAAAGAAAGAAGATCTTGGGCCAGAAGCAAGAATAGTTGCTCCTATACTTTTCTTATAGTTTTCTTACAAACTCAGTTGATCATATCCATATAATAATCAGTTTTTTCCTTTCATGCAGCAATTGATTCTGACCTTAGCATTTAGATTATTGGGATTGAAACTAGATATTCTCCATGATCTCCTTCAGCCCTTACATTCTTTAATGTTAAAGTTACTTCAAATAATTCATCTCAGCTTGCCATTTTTCAGGTGTTCAGTGTGAGCTTGGGCTCTCAGATCCTGATCACCATTGCCATAAAAACTGAATAATTTGCCTGGAGAAGAAATGTACTGAACAAAATGAGACAAACAGGATGGGATAAGAAAAGGATGCTTGCTCCAGATTTTAATTTAGTTTCTGCTACTGTTCAATTTTTAAAGCAAGTTCTTTGCAAAACACCACCTATTCAAACAAGATTTCAGTGTTTTATATTTTTTGGCAGTGTTGATATGACATGATATATATGATGATTTAATATGGTTCTCCATTCACCCAATTCCAAGTTTGCACAATGTTCTCTTTTAATTATCCAGAGATGCTGAGCCTGGAAGAAAAGATTTGGCTTACTTATGCTTTCTGCTCATTTGTATACATGGGTACTGAAGCCTAAGTCACTTCCTGTTCAAATTACTGTAAGTAATATGCTTTACAGAGGACTCCCTTTAAAGACCACTTGAAAGTAACAATTGGTCCAGTAGGCATGCACAGTATTGGGCGCTCCTAGATACTCCCATATTTCATCTCTATTGCACAAGTTGCACTGTCTTCCAGTTTGCTTCTGGGTGCAATTCAATGTTCTGGTTATCCCCTTTAAAGCCCTCTGTGGCATATGACATGATTATTTGCAGAATCACATCTTCCTGAAACTATTTGCCTATCCTATTACATTAAATAGGATAGATATGTTCCAAGTCCCTTCACTGAGATATTTTTCATCTAGTGAGTCATTGGAGATGTTTCTTTTCCATTGCTGCCCCTTATGGAACATTCTGCCCCCCCCCATTGATTCAGCAGACACCCCCCCCCATCCTTTTCGTTTTTTAAAAGGCCGTCAAGATCTGTTTTTTTTAGCCAAGCACTGGGACTGGACAGAATAAAATAGATAGAATGGAATTGGGGTAATTGGAATTGGCCGTAAAGCATCCTAGGGATAAGGTGTCAGGGTTTTGGTTTTGCTTGACAGTTTTATTGTTTCCTACTTACATTTTATAGTTACTGCATTATATTGCTGTTTGTGAACATCCAGAGTTATTTAAGGTGGGTGAAGTCATCTAAATAAATAAATAAAATCCCTTTCTGAATTAAAGCTTGATCTGCCATAATAAGTCCACTGCCTACCTATAAACCAATTTAAGCCCTCCATAGCATTTTACTTGGAAAACCTCATAATCTTACACTGTGATTTCTCAGTATGAATGCTAAACACCTGAACAAAGCTATTTGTTTGTTAAAGAAACAAGAGTGGCAGAAAAGCAGAATATTTTGGCCAAGGACCAGCAGATTGAAGTACATAGAAACCAACAAACACACATCATGCAACTCAACTGCTACACCAAAATAATTACTTCCACAAGAGTTCCTATAGCGAACTTTGGACTATTGAATCCCATTGGCTTGTCATGTTGGCTACAAAGTGATACAAAATACCTTTGAAATCATCCAGGTGAGTAGTGACAAGGTGCCAAGATGTTTGCAAAGTTTTCCTGGAAAAACTACAACTCCCATGCCCAAAGCTTGCTAGAGTCCCATGTGTAACCCTGTATTTTCCAAGCTTGGGAACAAAGTCAGTTGCTTTGTAACAGGGGAAGTTCATGCAGGGGAATAGTTCATATACATAGCAATTGCAATGACTTTTTAAAATTCAGGATATTTTTGTATGGTTTTTTTTTCCATTCATTTTCTCAGCTATCTTGCTTATTTGTATTTGCCTGACAAAAGTTCTATGCATTTTGCACAATAGGCAGAGAGTAAGGATGGACAATGTTTCCAAGAACAGATAAGCAACATTGCAAAGAAGCAAGAGAAAGCCGACTGAATGTTTCCTATTATGTTGTTATTAAAAGTACATACCTTTTTTATATGGAGAAAAGAGATTATATTATCCCACATACTAAATCTAACATACTTCTGTAATGTATATAATGTGTTTTTCTTCATCTTTGTTGTCCCCTTGTGAACACAGTTTTAAGTGCTCTCTCTGAATTTGTACATCATGTAAGTCCATAATTTGATTTTTGAGTTTTGATGTAACATGTTTTGTGAACTCTGTCACAAGTGTCTTTAAGCAATGTTTATAGCTTAGCATGTGTGAAGTTTCTCACTATAGTCTCAGTAAATCCCTAGATCCAGGTGAATGTGCTTCTGATTCATCCCTGTATATCAGAGTTCCCCAACCTTTTTGGCTTTATGGACCAGAGGGGGAAGAGGGGATGGTACAGCGCAAGCGGCAGGCAAGCATACACATGCAACTCCATTTGCGTGCCCACTGCTCAGACAAATGGAGTGCATGTGCACACACCCACTGCTCGCGTGAGTAGGGATGTGCACGCACACACTTGCCCACCACTTCCGTGGCCCGGTTCCGAAAGGCTCAAGGCCTGGTAGTGGGCTGTGGCCCGGGGGTTAGGGACCCCTTTCATGCCATATATAGTCCTCGACTTACAATAGTTCATTTAGTGACCGTTCAAGGTTACAACATCACTGAAAAAAGTGACATGACCATTTTTCACACTTACAACTGTTATAGCCTCCCCATGGTCATGTGATCAAAATTCAGATGCTTGGCAACTGACTCATATTTATGACGGTTGCAATGTCCCGGAGTCATGTCATCACCTTTTGCAACCTTTTGACAAACAAAGTCAATGGGGAATCCAGATTCACTTAACAACTATGTTACTAACTTAACAAATGCGTTGATTCACTTAACAACTATGGCAAGAAAAAGTTGTTAAATGGGGCAAAACTCACTTAACAAATGTTTCACTTAGCACCAGAAATTTTGGGCTCAATTGTGGACATAAGTCGAGGACTACTTGTACCTACCGGACTCTGATTCTACTGTTTTACCAACAGAATATCACACAAACTGAACTCAACAGAAAATACAGTCCAGTAATCTGGGGAGATCCCACATAACCCGTGTTTCCTCTGTACCGGTCTCTTACCTATCGTAGTCTTGGGATGTGCAGGAAGTGTCCTGGGGTTTGTGGGACTTTGGATCGGATTTCCCTGAGGAGCAACTCTGGGTGCTCCCACTTGGTTGTCTGTTTTCTTGCCTTCTGCTACCTTGCCCTGAAGAGCCACTTTGGTGGGAAGCATCTTGGGGTTTTGGGGTTTGTTGTTGCTTTATAGAATGCTCTCCTGAGCTGCTACTCTGCATGCCACCTTGTTGGCTGCTACTTTCTGTACAACTGCCCTGGTTTCCGGTAGTCTGCCACCCTGTACTCGCAGGGCAATCTGTGCGTTTATCCTTGAAAGGGATGTCATGGAATTTGTGTTGAGCCAAAGTAGCACCTCTCTGATGTTGAGATTGCCTGGATACGAGCTGTCCTGAGCTGCTACTCTGCCTTCCGTCTTGTTGGCTGGTAATTTCCGTGAGTTTGTACTGGTGTCTAATAGTCTGCCTCCCTGAATTCGCAGTGTCCTGTGTGCGTTCATCTTCAAGAGGAATTTCATGAAGTTTGTGTTCAGTGAAGGTAGCACCTTGCTGGTCTTCAGACTGCCTGGATAGATCCTGAAGTTTGCGTTGTCTTACGTCCCACTGCCCTAGAAGTACACTTTGCACTATTCCTCCAGCTAGAAAAAGAGAAGAAAATAATCAGATGTGCTCTCTTGTTGCTATTAATGCCTATACATTTTTTGTATATAACTGCTAATGTTTACTACTTCTAATAAAAGGGAAAAGATACACACACACACACACACACACACATACATACACACATACACATATATATATACTAATTACTAAGTCAGTTTCAGGAAGATCTTAATTTATTAGTCCTATTCTAGGCCCATGGATTCACATCTATTATATTCTGTATTGAACAGAACAGGATTTGGTAGTATAGTCATAAGCTGTGACACATTTCAGGGCATTCCCTGCCATTTAATAAAAATCACAAATGTTTTAAATTATCACGAATATTCCTGAATGCAAAGGGAACCAACCAGGCAGGTAGTAAAATGAGATGGTAGAATCCACAATGTCATTTTAGTGTACAGAGAGAATCACATTTTTGAATGGTTTAATAAATAGCCTGTAAATTTAGTACCCATCAATTGAAATGTGGCGTTGTAAAAATGGACTAGAACAATTTTATTTTTACTTTGTTTTTAAATTTGCACTTTTAACATTGAATGATTTATATGGAATCCCCTATTCTCTCTCTGACTCTGTCTCTCTGTCTCTCTCTCAAATTATACATTGTACATTGTGCTGTTTGTGTAGCCCATTGTGTATTGAAGTGAGAAGTGTTGGTGACTGTGTACATAGATCAAACTAGCTATGGATTCAAATAGCAAATTGTGCAAAGTATCCATAATAGGTTGTATAAATAACTTCTCTGGTGAATACATTCTCCTAGAAAATTTCTCTAGGGCTAATTTTTCCTCCAGTTAAATTCAAGATCAAAAGTAATATTAATTGTTAGAAAGGAAAATGACTGGGAAGAAACATCAGTGAGACCAGTATCCAGTTATTTCCACCATAGTTCCCATTCTTTTTTTTAGGTATTTTGCATGATCTATGAGATTTATGTACTCCAGGGTCTGGCTATGAAAAGCACCTAAAAGCTTATCCACTCTGAATCACTAGATGGATAGGCCAGACCTGCAGAAGATACCATTATAGTGTTAGTCAGAAGAATTAAGTATCAATGGCCCTCTAATATTGGTTTATCACCAACTCTCATCACCATTAGCTAAAATGATTCATGATTATAGGGTCTGACTGAGCAATGTAATAATGCAATTATATCTGGCTAGTCACAGGTTGCCTATATCAGATAGATACAGAGCAGCCTCTGAAAATAAATTCTTTCATATCATCCCCCCCCTTTATTATGTATATAAAATCACCATGCTTACCTATGGTCAGGTATTAAATACTGGAAGTAAGAAAGTGGTATTAATTTTCTGATTTGGGCAACTTTGGAATATACATATATAGTACCATTTTGGAATCTAAATATACTAAAACTGGTATGTCTGGAAATAATTATGTCAGTTAGAAAGTTATGGAATGGAATGTCTAATAAAAAAAGATATTTTCCCATGCCAAATTGACCTTATGGAGAAACTCAATTTTAAAAATTGAGAGAAAGACAGTGATATAGTAAAATTGGATGGAAGTGGAGATATTAACTTTGCATCAACTGATAGATGATGGAGATAAATGTTTAACATGCTTTGTGTTAACAGATAAATATCACCACCAGATATAACTCAATGACAATATTTACAATTACAAACTTTGTTAATAAGACTATTTGGACTAGCAGCATTTTTAAGACACCTGAGATACTAGAACAATTTGTTAAATCCTTTAAAATTAAAACACCTACAATTAGTTTTTATAGATATTTATTATCTCATTAAAAGTTGTATAAATTTGATGTGCAGATGTTAAGAAATGAATGAAATAAAGAATCAGAGGTTCCCATGCTGTCTAAACAATGGGAGAGTATATTAACTTCTATAGCAAGAGTGTCAATGGATCTCAAATTACAATTTATACAACACAAAGTAATACTTAGAATTTTTTAGCTCCATAACATCTATATATAAAAGGACAGTCAAAAAAAGCATTTGTGTTGAAGATGTAATAAGGATAATGCTTCTTTAAACCATGCTTCTGCAATGTCCTAATTTGAGGGGAAAATATTTTTGGGAATTCTATGTTTTGGGAGAAAGTGGTGAGCTATATAAATACGATTATGTGAAAAAAGCTAAAATTTTAAGAAGATAATATTAGTTTGAACTATATACCTAGTAGATGGAATTTGATAGTTGGATTGCTTAAAAGAATTCTTTGTGCCCTTTCTATGGCTAGGAATCTGATATTTCAGCATTAGAAAGATATGTGTATGGCTCCATTTATTCAATGGCTTGACGACCTGATTGCCCTTGACACTTATGAGCACATTGCCTATAGATCTAGATTAGTGATGGCAAACCTTTTAGAGAGCAAGTGCCCAAAAACTGGCCCCGCCCCTGCCCCACCCCCTGCTCCGCCCCTGCTCTGCCCCCCCATCCCCGCCCCACCTGCCTGCAGGGCCATTCACTGCCTCCAGGGCCCACCACAGATTGCCCAGGCAGCCCAGCAGTGCTATGGCGGCCACATCCTCTGCCCGTGCCCTGCAGCATCAACTGCATGATGGGGTATGAGGGCAGAGTCTTGTCTACGCTCCCTGGCTGCCATGTCCTTGGCTGCGCTGCTCCGCATGGGCCACGCTCAGGGGCGACTCTCCTCCAGGGGGGCTGCTGGAGAGGAGAGTGTCGCGGGAGGAGGCGAGGCTAGGGCAATGGCATATGTGCCCACAGAAACGGCTCTGAATGCCACCTCTGGCACCTGTGCCATAGGTTCGCCACCATTGATCTAGACTTTGTATAGACAACTATAATGAAATATGGACTCATTTATAGACAATATGTATGTAATTAAATAATATTTGGATTAAACAAGTATATATAGAACTGTAACTTTAGTTACAATTAGAAAAAATAATGTTATTGTTTAGTTACAGTGACATATTATTTTTATTGTCATATTTCTTTAATATTTCTGTTACATTTTTATGTGTTTTTTTCCTTCTCTTTGACTATGTATGTATCACCATCATAATTATTATTATATTTTGCTCTCTATTTTTGTTATTAATAAACAGTAAACATAGAAAACAGTTAATAGAAAACAGTTCTGTGGGAGGACAGCATCCCCCCCAGAGAAAGAAATATTTTGGGAATATTAAAAGGCAGAATATTATATTTTCCCAAAGGATCTTAAAGGCAGAAAAGCAGGCCCAGTTTTCTTAATAGCCCCAGGCAGAGACCAGCTCTGTAGAAATGCAGATTTGGTGATTCATTCAGGAAGACTAGAGCCAGGAAGCTTGCAGCTGATGAGATTAGAAAGACAAAGACCCCTAAAATCTACATCTCCACCCAAACTCTAAAAACATGACCTTTAGAACATAATAGGAGTAACCCAACATCATCAGAATACCAAAAGGACATGCTCAAAAGCTCAGGTCAAAGTTCATGCCACAGGAGCAGGAAACAACCTCAAACACAAAAGCCCAAGAAGGTATAAAAACCCACCACTCCCAGCTACATATGGTCAGCTTTCCCAGACCCACATTTCTGTCTGGCTCTGCTCTTCAATAAACTACAACCTTCTTTCTAAAGCAGTCTTCACTTTGTTTATTCCTGGCTTGACTGGACCCTGATGAAGATTTTTCTTTCAACAGTTCCTTTTTGACTCAATATATTTCCTCTACATCAGAGGTCCCCAGCCATGGACCAGCATCTGTCTGCAGCCTGTGAAGAAGCAGCCTGCGGAAGCAAGCAAAGCCCCATCTACACCCATGCGGGATCCAGGCCGCGCATAAAACCACACACCCCTGGTTCGTGGAAAAATTGCCATCCACAGAACTGGTCCCTGCTGGCACCCAAATGTTTGGAGGCCGCTGCTTTACATAGTATCCCTGGCAACAATAACTGGATGTCATAACATATTCTTAGATATGTAGCCCAAAATATTTCGTGCAATATTCATCTGTTATTTCCATTTTATAGATATATGACATATAGTAAGATTGAAAGCACAGCAATTAGTTCCCATTACAGGGACCTGTGCTTTTCAAATCTAGCACCAGAATTCATACAGTATTCATTTTTACAGGTACTTTATAATATGCCCCTTATTTGCATTTTATGGATAGAAACCTGAAACTGAGTTATAGGAAGGCTGAAGGCACAGCAACAAGTTCCCATGACAAGAACCTGTATCTTTCAAATCCAGTACCAGAATCCAAATGGGCTAGCCAATGAGTTTCTCTGACTGATTTTTACACCAGACTCCCAAAGCTCTGATTGTATCTAGTTCCTTTTTATCTAAACCACTTATCACAAGACAGAGAATCTCTGGCACTCCAGAAGTTGCTGACCAGCATCCCTCACAGTTTGCTATACTAGCTGAGGTTTCTGTGTAATATGATTCAGCAACATATGGAGGACCATCACAGCTTGTTCTCCGAGATCAGAATTATAAAATCTCAGAAGAGAATCCAACCAATGTTGCCTTAACTCCCTGCCCCCGTAGCTGAGCTGGGAATAGGCTCCCCTACACTAGAGTGGGACAACTTGGTGTCCTCCAGATATTTGAGGCTGAAATGCCTCTCTCTTGAAACTGATCATGTTGCCTGTGCAGGAAGAGAAAGAAAATTCAAAACTTCTGTAAGGCATCAGATTGTCAAGTCAGCTTTAGGAAGAAAATATGGGATTTGCTTCCAGCCTCTAAGCTTCTTTGATACCTTTTTCCATTGCTGCAGTTGTATTCCTCAGCCTCTACTTCTGCTTCTTTCTGCCTGGCTGGTTCTGGGTGCAACTGGTAAGTGGAAGTTTCCTCTTCACCCTGTTTATTTCTGGAGAACTGTTTTTTACTTAGCATGCTTATGTTGGTTTGTTTTCTTGGCACTCCATCTGATTGGTTGTTAACCAAAGCCCTCTTGTAATTCATTGGATGCTGAAGGTGCTGTGGGTGTGTCTCTGCAAAGCCACAAGAATGGGAAGGGAATATTCAATTCAAAGGATGTGACTGGAAGGGTGGAGATAATCCATATGGAGCATGTGAAGGCTGAGCTGGTCTTTTGGAACTATGTGGGCAGAGACAAGAAAAACAGGGAACCTGAGGGAGGGGGAGCGGTAAAACATAGGAATAGATCCTAATAGTACAGAAAAAAATATCAAATTTATATGCCACCAAGAGTTGCTGGGAATCAGGTAGCATATAAATTTAGTATATCATCATCATCCAGGATCTGAAACAAATGATTCTCTGTGCCAAGCTTACTTGATGAATGCAAGTAGAATTTTAAACAGCATCCACCCCCTACCATATATGATTTTAAAATATTGCAAAGTTTTCATATTTAAAACATTGAGAAATGAAATATTTTGCACTGTTGGCTAGGTAACCTCCCTAATAGTGCAATAGTGCCATGGGAATTGTCCTCCCTTGCAGTTACTCTGATGCTCAAAATTCCACTTTTCTCCTTCATCAGCCACAGGAAGGCTGGTATTCTGGAGAAGACACTCCCTCTTCATATGTGGAGTCCTTGTTTGTTTTTTTCAGAAACTGGAGTGAGCCATAATCTTGAAAAGACATGCTCCTATCATAATCCTGCACATGACACAGGAACCAACCACTTATGTCTTTGCACCTCTGAAAATAATCACATCAAACGAAGATGTCATCTTCCAGGCTATAATGAGAGTGTTTTAGAGTGCCTGTCCTTGATCAGAGCTCTTAATTAAGCATCCTGTGCTGGAGGGAACAGGTTACACTGGAAAACCTTTGGCACATTTACTGTGGAACAGCTACATGAGCAGCCAGAAGAATCTGCGTTATGAGTCATTCAGCAACAAGGCCTTTGATTGCCTGTGATGTTACCATCCCAGACCAGCCATAAATTGCAGCATCATGAGTTTCTGCTACAGAACAGATGATTAAGCAATTCACATGGCATTGTTCTGCTATAGGCTACATGCAGAATTATTATTTTATTGGTTAAATTTATATGTCTTTTCCATTAGATTTTTATTTTTATAGTAAATGAAATGTAAAAGTCTGATCAGTGGAAAAGATGATATATGTTAATATAGACCGCAAGACTTGGATCTTAATAAAACAGAATGAAATCTTTCAAGACTTTCAGCGCATTGGTTTTAATATCTTCAAATAAGCAGCATAGTTTATATATAATCTTTTCTTAGAAGAATGATAGACTAAGCTCTGGGACTATGCATCATTATAAAAAATAATTCAATAGGATACAGAATTTAAGTTAATATAGAATTAGTTTGTGGATTATTCTTCTGCACATCAACTTGGACAACATCCAAGGTTTGAACTTAGGAGAAGTTCAACATAATTTTTTAAAACATTAGAGCTTGTCTGTTCTCCAGCATGATGAGTGTAGAATCCACCGGTGGGTAATCTCAGCCTTCCTGCTTAGTTGAGACTAAGTCAGAAATCTGCCACGCCTCCTTCTGGGTGGACCTTGCCCAGTTTTTGACTTAGTCTTAGCTCAGCAGGACACAAAATCTTTTGGCTCCTCTGAACAGATTAGGTTAGACTAGTTAGTTTCTGATTGCATTTCAAATTTGTTGATCAATTTGGCCACTTGGGATACTGATTCAAAATTTCTCTTCAAATTGGTGACTCTGAATCAAGTGGTTTAGCTCCCTAGGGCGTGATAAGATCTGGGAAGCAGCCATTATTTTTGGCGCGAACGCCATTTTGGACATCTAACGAGGCACAATTGCCATTTTGAAAACCTCACAAGGCGCGGCCGCCATTTTGGAAGCCTCCCCACTACTCATTCCCTGTGCTCTGCCCAGGCTTTCATAATTTCTTCTGCCGTAACAGGCACGGAACTGGGGGGCATCATTTAAGGCCGTGATTACCGCTCATCGGCTCAATACAGACTCAGACTCAGTGAGGCGATTGGCATTTGAGGTCTTCACAGCCTCGGCTTTTATGTTCTGACAGGCTTGAGATTCTGGACAGATAGCAGATCCTCCCAGTCGCTGGTTTATAAATCTGCAAGTCCCCAATACCATTCTTCTAAAAAACATAACAGTCTGTAATTGTGAATTACTATCATCCTCATTATAATATATATTGTCACAAACAGTTTACCTTAGGAGGGGGAATTTTGGTCAGACCCCACCTGTCCCATCTAGCCGGTGTGGCGCTGTGCCACAAGGCCTAGCAGATGATTTTAGAACATTGTCTGGCTGTCTTCCATTGCTGTTGTTCAGAACGTGAGGTTTTACCTCTCTGACAACTATATCTGCATACTTCATCCCCCCTCCCTAGACATCTCTCTCCAGAATATCCAGTCCGCAATGGCAGACAGTTCAGCCTCTCAGCCATCACAGGGCTCTTCTGTTCCCCCCAAAGAAAAAAAGCGCAGATCATCTGAATTGGAGGCGGGGGGAACAACAAAATCTAAGGCAAAGGCCTCATCCACGAAGAAGCTCTCCAAAGCTGCTGAGAGGCAGGCCTCGAGGAGACATCAGGCACTGGACAGGGAGTTCTCCAGAGTACAAAGCCTCACTTTCAGTGGGACAGATGTGGTTTCCCCCCTTCCACTGGACTACTCACCATTTGATCCTCAATTTGCTCCTCCATAGGATGCCACTAGGGCATGGTCTCCTCAGGGGGAAACTGGACAGGTAGGTCCCCCTCCCACCGATCCCCAAGGTAATTTACCTCCCCCAGTACCACAACCTCCAGAAGCCACATATACCCCTATGGCAGCTGGCATTCGCCCCTCAGGCCAGCAGGGAACAGTTGGCCTGAGGGGCGCAACTGGAACAATTCTAGGCCTTTACACAATTCATGACCTCAATGGGTCAACAACCTTTATAGATGCCCCCTCCCCCCACCACCCATACCTCAAACAGATCCTACCCAGTTACCTGGCTCGGACATCTCAGATGCATCCTCCCAGTTAGGAGAGGAGGGATCCGAGATCTTTGAGACCTCGTACTTACCCATGTCAGAAGATGAGGAAGCCATGCCGGATACATCCCCGACATCGGGTCTCTTTGACCCTTCCCTATTTAGATCACTGCTTCTCAAGGCTTGTACCACGGCCAATCTTACTCCTGAACAGGACACTAAGACACCGACCAACACCACCCAGAACTCCAACCCTCTTTTCTCTGAGCCGGTGGTTGAGGAAAAGCAAATCCCATGCCCGTCCTTCTTCCGTACCACGGTGGAGGAGCAGTGGTCGGCACTGGGCAGTCTTCCATCTCCCAGTGTGACTGAAAAGAAACTTTTCAATGTTTCTTCATCCTTCTCTCCTGGAAGTACCACTTGTAGATACTGCCCTAACTTCCTTGTTTTCTACCTCCACCATTCCAGGAGACCTGGCAGAGGCCTTGAAGGCGGAGGAAAAGAAATTTGAATTTTCCCTCCACAGGGCTCACCAAGCATCAGTGTGGGCAATCAAGACGGCTACATCAGCGTCATTTTTCACTAGGTCATCCACCATGTGGTTGCGCGAGCTCCAGGAACTCATTCCTCCTGATCAGGTGGGACCACACCAAATACTGGGGAAAATGATCACAGTGTTGCAGTATGTAGCGGACGCATCACTCCACTCCGCCAGGTACTCCACAAGGTCTATCGCAGCCACGGTCTTGTCCTGTAGACTACTTTGGCTAAAACAGTGGTGAGCCAACCTTAAATCTAAATGGCGCTTGTCTACCACCCCTTATAGCAGCATGCACCTTTTTGGACCAGTCCTTGAACCGTATCTCATAGAGGGAAAAGACAAATGCAAGGTGCTTGCGCATCCCTCTAAGAGGATAGACAAGAAACCTCAACAGGAGGTCCGCAGGCATCCCTTTCATTCCAGCTATTTCTGGGATTGGAGGCAGCCCTTTCGTCTCGGGCAGTCCTGGGATTGGCCCTGGAGCTCTCGGTCCTTCCCACCTAGACAGGACCGCCAGCAGGACTGCCATAACTCTAGAGCCAGGGCCCAATACACCACCAAACAGCCCTTTTGGGGTTCGGGGGGCCATCCGTACAGACGGAGCAAGTGATGCCAGGGAGTCCTCTCCCATAGGGGGTCGTCTGTCCCTATTCACCAACACTTGGGAGACGACCACCACAGATGCATGGGTGATAGACACCATATGACATGGCCTCTCCCTGGAGTTCTGGTCCATACCTCCAGAATGTTTCCTAGCGTGTCCCAACATAAGAAATGCCACCAAGGCAGGACTTACGTCCAGAGCCATATCTCACCTACTGAAGATAGAGGCCATAGAGCCAGTTCCCACAGAACAGAAGGGGCAGGGATTCTATTCCAGTCTGTTCGTGGTGCCCAAAGCCTCAGGGGGCTGGAGGGCGATCTTGGACTTGAAGGGTCTAAACCACTTCTTAATCTACAAAAGATTCAAGATGCAGACCCTCAAGTCCATCCTGGCCAGCGTCAGGAAGGGGGATTTTCTTTCATCCATCAACCTGACAGAAGCATATCTGCATGTCCCTATCCTTCCCGAACACCAAAAATTCCTCCGGTTTTGTTACGCGCACTGGCATTTCCAATACAGGGCGCTCCTGTTTGGCCTTTCCTTGGCCCCACGGGTGTTTACAAAGATCCTAGCGGTCTTAGCCACTCATTTGAGAATGATTCCAGTGCGCGTACAATGCTATCTGGACGATATCCTGATCCAGTCTTCCTCCTTCCCATCAGCCCAGTCGGACCTGGACATCACCATCAGGATTCTTCAAGCTCACGGATTTTCCGTGAACTTTCAGAAGAGCCACAGTCCCCTCAAACCGCCTACTCCACCAAGGGGCGATTATAGATTCAAACCTATGCCAGGTCTTCCTCTCCCAGGAACGCCGGAACAGCATCCGAACCCTTGTCCACCCCATTTGGAGAGAGAGGGTAGTCCCTCTGGTCCTATGTCATAACTACTGGGGAAGATGGTCTCCTGCATGGGGATCGCCCCATGGGCCAGACTACACTCCAGAAGCCTACAATGGTTTCTCCTCCCTTTCCAGAAGTGGAATATGAGCGCTTCCACCAGGAAAGTGAGGGTCCCACATCAAACTATGTCTTCCCTTCTGTGGTGGACTTCCTCAGCAATGGTAAAGGGGACTCTATTCAAAGAGCCTGCCAGGTTCATCCTGACCATGGACGCCAGCCTCTTCGGCTGGGACGCTCATCTCCAGACACATCTAGCCCAGGGGCAATGGTCCCGTTCGGACCTGAGCCACAATATAAACTGGCTAGAACTAAGGGCCATCCACCTAGCACTCCAACACTTTTCCACCTTAGTGGTAGACAAACATATTTTAATACTGACAGACAATGTGGCAGCAAAGGCATACATCAACAGGCAGGGAGGGACCCAATCCAAGTCCCTGATGCTCGAAGCCCACAGTCTGGGCTCTTGGGCAGGACCAACCTAAGATCCATCAAGGCAGAGCATATATCAGGGGAGGCAAACCATCAGGCGGACTCCCTGAGCAGGGCCACAGTGGACCACTCAGAGTGGAGACTGGACCCACTTTTGTTCAGGGAGATAACGAGCAGATTCGGCCAGCCACAGTTAGACCTCTTTGCATCTCCGAACAACTCACACCTGCCGAGATACTTTACCAGGTACCCATCCCCACTGGCGGAGGGAAGGGACGCCCTCCGCAGTGAGTGGCCCAGGGGGTTGCTATACGCATTTCCCCCACTCCTGTTAATACCAGCAACCATCCGCAAGCTGCTCCAGGAACAAGCGGAGGTCATCTTGGTTGCTCCGCACTGGCCGCAACGGGCGTGGTTTGCCGACCTGGTGGAACTATTGATCTCTCCGCCATGGAGGATACCTCCAGACCGCATC